TGCCCCGGGGCGCCGCGAGGGTCCAAGGGTCCGGACGTGGCCCCGGCCGGGCGCGGCCGCCGCGCTGGCAGGGCGCCCCGCCCCGCAGGAGCGATGCTGCCGGCCGCCGTTCCTGCCGCTTCAGCGTTAGGCTGGGGCACGAGGTTGGCTGGTTCAATTGGCGCTAGCTTTTACAGTCCGCTTTTAAATTGTGTAATTTAATTTTTATGATTTTTTTATTACCTGCATTTTTATATTATCCTTTTATTGCATTTTATGTGCACTTGCAAACTGCCCAGAGAGGTTCGCCTATTGAGCAGAACAGAAATGCAACGAATGGATGAACGAATGAATGAAGTTGCCTCAGTGTGGGGGGGGAGGATTTGGTGGGGTGACAAGCGCTCAGTGGACCACCAGGATGGCCCACAGGGAGGTGCCCAGGGGCAGCCGGCAGTCTGGCACACACCTGTCCTGGCACAGCTGGGCAGCGCGCTCGCCGGTTGCTCCCTGTGGGCGTCCTGGGCACAGGCTGACTTGGCTTTCAGAGGCAGGTGGACAGTGGCGCAGGGAGCAGCTTTGCCCAGCGGGTACGTTGGAAGATTGTATACCAAATTCTTCAGCAGCTCACTAGGAGAATTGGGCCAAATCTCTAGAAACTGTGAATGCTTGAAAAATATCTAAAACATTCTCTCATCAGCTCTCTGCCCTGCTCCCCGTTCTGTGTGTGGATCAGTTCAGCCTTAGAACTTAAAAAACCACTTGGATTTTGTGGAAGTGGTTAAGGAGACGGTCTCTGTGGATTCCTTTGGCATCATGCCAAGGTTTCTCAGCCACGGATAGACATGTGAGGCGTTCCTTTGCTATTGAGCAGAGCTCTGGCAGAGGAGGAAGAGAATTGTTACTCTGATTGTGTGTTGCTGGCCTAGGCCTGCCTCTGGTCCGGAAGTGGCAGAAAGTGCTTGAGCTTGTCTAAAACGTTTTAAGGAAGAAGAGGGACCGAGTTTGACTGGCTTGCTCATGAATTAGACACTGCAGGGTGCCTTAGCGCTGGTTGGCAGCACCATGGCAGGACGGGCACCTTCCTGATCACAGGCATTGCCCTGGTTCTCCCAGTCACGGTGGGTACTGGGCAGAGTGAGTGGCAGTGTCTGTAGGCTCCAGGTTGGCAGTCCATGGCACGCGCACCCAGCGAGGTTGGCTGCTGGCGTGGCTGAACCCATCGGGGGCGGGGTGGGTTTGCTGGTGGCCTATCAGCCGCCTCAACCCTGGACTGAGAAGCTGAGATGCCCCCGTCCAACGTGGGCCCCACTGCAGCGAGGAACCCCCTGGGGAAATTCCCTCCAGGTGCCCGTTTAGGCAGGCACCGGGCCAACAGCTCCCCACCCCAGTTCGCAGGCATCGGTGCACACAGGGCGCCTGGGGTATTCTGGAAGGCACAGAGCAGCCCAGCTCTTTCAAGCCTTCCTCCCCCGTGCCGAGAGCCTGGTCTGTGCCGGGACGCCTTTGCTAGGGCAAAAGCGCCATGCCCATCCTGTGCCCAGGACCGGCCCAGGGCTGAGTCCTGGGATGCTCTGAGCACGTGCCCCTTGGTGCCGCCGTCGCCGCTGCCGCCTGTGCACAGTGCCGCTGGGTTGGGGCGCGCGTCTCCTCGGCAGGCTCGCCCCGGCCTGCTCGGCAGGTCCCGTGTGTGCTCGTGGCACCGAGCGCCCCCTCTGTGGGAAAACACCCAGCACAGTGTTTTGCAGACCACGCGGCCCAGTGCCACGGATTTGAGCTGCCGAGGAGGCTTTTGTCCCTGCAGTCCAGCTGCTTTTGGCTCCTTCTTGGCTCTGCTCTTAAGGTGTAAGGCAGCAGGCACCTGGCAAGACGGCCCTTGCATCAGAGGACTGCGCAGGTCGTAGTGAGAGGAGCCATAGCAAGTCCAGACATGGGAAAACATTTGTGCAGATCTGGCTAAAATGAGAAGCCGGAGTTTCTGTCCTGTTGCGAACAGCAGGCCTGGGGGGCTCTGAGTGGGACTGCCACGAGGTCAAAGGACGAGCCCCCTCCCTCCACGCCATGGCCCTGAGCTCGCTCAGGCAGCCCTGCGCAGCTGGTCACCCGCGCGGGGCTCGCCGCGTCCGGCGTCTGGGCAAGACAGTCGGCAAGGGGCCGGTTGTGGGCAGCCCCTCCGACGGCCCGGCCCAGTCGCTCTGCTCCCAGTTACAGTGCTGGGCGGCCTGCAGAACGGAGGCCTCATAGCCGCTGACATGATGGCGACGTGATGCCAGAGGAGGCGGACCCTGCCCAGGAACGGCCGCTTTTGCCCGCTTTCCTCTCAGATGTCTGTGGCTTGCACGGGATTGCTTTGCTGTTTTCCCACGGAATCGGCCCGCTTCCGTAATTTGATAACCTGTTTGTTTCTCGGTTCTTTCCTGCTGGTGGCACCTCTAAGCGAGCCGGTGCAGTCCAGAGTCCTCGAATGCTGGTGCTGTGCAGCAGCTCTTCGGCTTCTCAATGAAGAGGGGGCTGGTGGCAGCACAGCCCCCCCCCCTGCAGGGCCCTCCCAGTGGTGCAGCTCCCCCAGCTCTGCCATCGGGAGGGAACTCCCCGCCCAGGCAAAGGCAGGCGGAAGCAAGCTGGCAACTGAGCGGGGCCCCGAACAGCCGCCTTGCCTCCTCCGTATTCAAAGCACGGTCAGTTTGTCAAAGGTGTTGCTGTGAAAGCCACATGCAATCGTGCCCCCTGGGTAAATATTTGTGAGCTGCACCTGTTGAGGGGACCCCGTTAAAATCACACCCAAAGCCTCCCTTGAGCCTGTAAATTTGTCCAGGGCAGGATGGGAGAGCGGATGGAATCTGTCTGTGGTGCTCCCAAACAGCATTCCCCACCTTAGGAATGAACCAGGCCGTCCTTCGGAGGGATGCACCTTGGACCTTGGCATGGGCTTGGTGGAGGCTTGCAGAGTAAACTGGAAAGGGACAGAGCTCGGTGGCTCATGTGCAAAACATTCCAGTAGCCACCTCTCCATTTTACCGTGAGAAGACTGCTAACAAAGCTGCGTGGGTCAAGGGGACAAGGGCTACGCTGCCTAGTAGTTAGCCTCGCAGACTTCTTGCGCTTCGCTGTGCAGGGAGTGCGGGGAAGGTGCCGCTGAGCCGCAGGGCTTGTGGCTTCAGCACGGTGTGGGGCGGTTGCTGGCCCAGTGCCAGGCGGCTCAGTGCGGAGCCGCTCCCGGAGACTTGCTCATCGGCATCGCTGCCTCTTGTCTGCCCCACAGCCGAGAAGGTCACCTCGTTGGGCAAGGACTGGCATCGGCCATGCCTGAAGTGTGAAAAATGCGGCAAGACCCTGACGTCGGGGGGCCACGCAGAGGTAAGCAGAGGCCCCACGGCTGCCAGCCCTGGCAGGGACCGGGAGCTGCCATGTGGACTGCGCGTCACACGCTGCTCATGCCGCTCGGCTGTGCAGGCGCTTCTGGACCGTTTGCCACGAGCTGACGGCCTCCTAATGCTGGTGGCGTGGCCGGAGCATAATGTAGCTTGGCACCCAACGCGGCAGCGGTGCAGTCCCCATGCACGGAGCCACGGGACCGGCTTCCACCAAGGTCACCCGTGGCCGTGCAGCCGCTCTTTCCTGATTTTTGCCTTTGTTCAGCCACTTGCATTTGGTTGAAGGGACACCAGGTGCTCTTCAGGAGGTCCAAACCTGACGTCATTAACACTTATTATTTATAAAAGTTACCTGTGCTTCCCCTTTCCTTCCAGTCCCCAGAGCACTTTAGCCTCACGTTGGCAGCAGGATTTCTTTCTTCAGTGGAGCAAATCTGTCCCTGCTTGGCTGCTAACATTTCCCTTGCGAAGAGAAGAGAGAAGCAGCGGGAGGGAAACCCGGCTGGAGGGAGCTTTGCACCGCCCTAGAATCCAGCCCCTTTTTGCCCCGTGGGCATAGCAAGATGGGGCGGTGGGTTGCTTTGCTCGTGCCCACCCCATAAGGGCCCGGCCGAACCCGCAGGAGCCCCGAGGACGACCATCCTTGGTGCTCCCCTGAGGTGTCTGCCCTCTCTCCACAGCACGAGGGGAAGCCCTACTGCAACCACCCCTGCTACTCGGCCTTGTTTGGACCGAAAGGTAAGATGCCCGTGGGGCGGGAGGGTGCGGCACGGCGGCTGGCATTGGTCTCCCCCAGGAGTCGACCTCTGGGCAGCAGGACCACCTGCCCCAGCATCCTGAAGCACCGCAGTCCTCGTGCACACAGAGGACCCTTGTAGGATGCCTTCACCCAGGAGGACTTGGTGCCCTCAGTGCAGTTGTTTGGCGCCAAAAACGGGTCTCGGCTGCTCCGCACATCTCTGCATTAAGGGCGTTCGTATGTGGCCAGTCCTGTGACCTGCACCGTTGCTGCGCAGAAGATCCCCGTGCCTTTTGGGCTGCAGCTTTGTGGGGGGGGGGGCGCCACAGAGGAGATCTCAGCTCCTCACCCTCTGTCTTTGGCGAGCCAGTGTGGAGGAGGAGGCGGGAAGGAGGGTCCGGACACTCGCCCCTCCAGCCCTCTTTCCTCCCCACACAGTGCAACGTCCCCATTTCCTTCTCTGAAGCAGCTGTTCTGACCCCAGAGGGCAGCTGGTGCAGTTTTTCTGCCCCAGCTGCAGAAAACGGGGTTGCATGGGCTGGGTCTCCAGTTCCTGCTGCCAGTGCCGAATCCCCATTCCCGGCCTTGGAAGGTGGCTTTGAGCAGTCCTCTGGTCCCGGAATGCCCAGAAAACCACACAGCTGCTCTCCCTGGCTCAGTTTTCCATCTTCTGTGCATCTGGACAGTTTTGAAGGCATGCAAAACACTGGAAAAGCTAGAATATTTCCATAGTTACTGAATGAAAAAAATGCCTTACATAAGAACTGGCGATGCTTGAGGATATTTCCTGTGTTATGACTTTTCGCCCTCACACACCCTAAAGCAGCTACACATATCTTTAAAAGGAAAACAAAACTGACTGGCTGATGTTCTGGGGGGAAAAGACAAATAGCGGCCACTGCTTATTTGATGTGGCCTACCTGGCTTATAGGTAAAAAGATTTTTAAAATGTTTATTGCTATTAAATTTTCTAGATCACATGCTGTAAGATGTCTTGCAAAAGTAACTTTAATTAATGAATGGGAAATATTTCCTGTGAGGATGGCTAAGCGGGGACGGTGGAGCAGAATCTGCCTGTGAACTTCGCACTGAGGCGAAACTTGAAGCCCACTTTCCACAGCCAAGTGCGGCGCCCAAGCACCACACCGAGGCACTTTGATCTCGGAGATGCCCATAGACACGTTTCCTCCTTGAAACGGAATCACAGTCCGCCTTCCGTTAAATGCATTTCAGTGAGCCCGCCTTTCCCTGGGTGGTCTTTCCAACGACCTTCGCACCTCCTTTTGGTGCATCAGCAGCAGAAAATGAAAGGCCTTGTTCCGCAACCGTTCCTGCTGTCCAGCTGGGCTCCTGCACGGCACTCTGCTTCCGTGTGCCCCCTCCAGCCCTGCTCTCTTGCTCTGTCTGAGACGCCCTTGCAGCCGTAGCAGAACCGAGCCGGGAGGCGTGGGCATGGCGTGGAGCGCCGGCATCAGATCAGACGACATGCCCCGTTTGCCTCTCCAGCCGCCCTGCCGTTTTCTTTCTCCCTGGGCAGGCTGAGGCGCCTCGCCTGGTGGTGCCACCTGGTTCCTGTAGAAAGCACTGGCCGTGTTCTTGGTAGAGTCCATGGGCTGCTTCTGCCCACGGAGCGCTGCTTGCGCGCTGTCGCTGAGCAGAGGCCTTCCAAGCAGAGAGGGCGAGGCAGAAGGTTCCCCTTCCGGTTGCTTTTCTTCCACTTCTAACAGGAAATGCCTGCTCCTTTTGTTCTCCAAACTAGCATGTGGCCAGTCTTGCCCTCCCTCCCTCAGACTGGTGCACTGCTCATTCAGCAGGGGGCTGGGTGTGACATGCAGGTTGCCTCTGCCCTTACCTGGGAGGACCCCTTTCTCTGCACCTGCAGGATGCAACCCAGGCAGGAGCCGCCAGCAGTCCTGGCTGGCACAGCTCGCCTCCTTTCCGTGACAGCCGGAGGCCTTCCAGGGCCTCATTCCTCAGGACGGCATGTCACTCTTGGGGGAGACGTAGTGGTGCCGGGGAGCCCGTAGCAGACATTTTGCCTCACTGTGGTTTTCTTTCAGGGTTCGGCCGTGGAGGTGCTGAAAGCCACACCTTCAAATGAATTTCAGGTAATTGCCTCTGCCTACAGCTTCTGCAGCTCCACTGATGGTTTTTAGTGGGATGTGAGATAAGCCGGTGGCCTACATCTTACCTTATCCTCATTTCCCCCCTCTTTCCTCTTTAGGGATGGAAGGAACAGACTTGCCCTGGATCCCAGCCGCTTCAAAGCAGTATGGCCACAACAGCCTCAGTACAGTTTCTCCTTGCAGTAAATCTCACATATTACAAAGGCTTTCCAATGCAGTATAATCCTCAATGACCGGCTGATTTCCTGTCCTGTGTTAATTGTAAAACATTATGGGATAGCACCAGGAGCCTCCAGAAAATAAACTCTTGGTCAAGAAGTCCCTGTGCCTACTTTTAAAACTTGCTCTTCCTGAAGACGATTCTGCCTCAGTAATAAAAGCTCAAATTTAAAAGATTTGTTCAGTTTGTATTTGATTAAGGAGACGGCAATGATAAAAAAAAAAAGCTTGCTGAAGTCGAGTAAATACCTGCTTGTGTGCTCAGCCTGCCTGTGACCGAATCTTCAGCTGGCATGTGTGGAAATGAACGCCCAAATGTCCTGCGGCCCTCTTTCGACATGGAAGGGGCAGTTTGGGGTTTCAGCTGGCATGGAAGGATGTGATAATGCTGGAGAATTCCGAAAATGGTTCTTGAGGATGGTTCCCACTGCATTTAAAGTGGGTCCAGACATTTTATGGTCAATGCTGAACTTCAGCCCATCTTGGCTGACCTATCTTTACCGTGAGAACATAAATTTAGCCAAAGTGTGTAATATGCACTACTCAAATAGTCCAGGGTTGTAATGATGTTTCGACAAAATAAAACCTTTGGTGGAGAGAAGCTCTTGGCTTCTGTCCTGTTTTCCTCTCGGGGCCAGGCCATGCGAGAGCGTCTGCCATTACGCAGCGCATCGTCCCTGGGCCTCCTGCCGAGGTGGCGCGTCCGCTCCAGGGGGCTCCTGCAGCACCACTGTGGCATGTGGTGGGGCAGCGGCTGGCCCCACACGGCAGGCTGCCTCTGGGGCTGAGCGCTGCCGGGCACGGCTCCAGAGCAGCTGCGGGGCTGTGGAGCACGTGGTGCCCAGCCAAGGCCCGCGTGAGCTCAGGATGCATGAGGGGACTTCCTGGCGCTTAAACTTTTCCCAGAGCCACCAGCTACACACAGCAGCTGCCTCCAATTTAGATGCATGAAGGGAGGTCGAGGGAGGGGTGTAACCCCCCGCCCCTTTTAGTTTTCTGAATCTAAATTTCCCACGGTTTGCCCTGCTAGAGAGAAAAAATCCAAGAGGTTAAGTTTGTCTGCTACAGGTTTAATAAATCTGGTGCTGTTTTAGTTCAGGAAAATGGAATGGGGAAAGGGAAAGCACCTGTTCTGGTCCAATTTGGAGCGCCCCATAGCTGCTTTTAAGTAAAAATTAAAGGAATTAAAAAGCTTCCACATAGTTTGATGTTAAGAAGCAAACAGGACAGAAATGATAAGTTTTTATTCTGTGAAAACATTTAATAAGCTGCTTTCCACTCAGAAACTGCATGCAGGGTTACACACACAACTAAAACTGAATCATAAAACCATTTTTAAAATCCACAAATACAGTTTTAAAAAACTCAATATGTGAATGTTCAGCCTGCCTGAAAAACCCGCAACTAGCATTTCAAACAAAGCACGTTGTCAGTTGCCGGACGGAGGAAAGGCAGGACCTGGCCTCTCCAGGTGAGGGGGCTTCACAGGAGGACGGAGGAGGGTGGGCACCCGTCTGCTCAGATCAGGCGAGAGGAAAGGAACGCTGAGCCGGACTGCTGTGGCTGCGCGGAAGGAAACGGGTGGGCGCGCACAGACGTTTGCAGCGCTCAATTCATATTTTTAAAGATGGACCCTCCTGCTCCTTTTCACTGTGAGCCTTTCTGAAGAAGGCCAGCTGGGAACTCACTAAATCCCTTAAGTGGGTTTTTTTTTAAGTTTCCTTGGAGGGCACAGGGAAATGCCATTCCCCTAGACAAGGTCCAAGACGATCCATAGCAAAATGGCACAACATTAGATCAGGGACCCCGAGGAGCACGTATTTCAAGAACTCCAGGGGCTTAGTGCGCATGCGGAGCACAGTGCAACTCGGAGAGCTGCAGCTCGGTGCCCTTCCTGTGTGTCTTCCGCATGCAGCCCAGGCATGCTCTGCAGTGCCCCTCCCCAGCCTGAAGCGGTTGTTTGCAGGCCATTTAAACGGGCCAGCACCTTCCCCTGACAGTTTAATTGGTGATTGGCAAATTAATCAACTAAATATTTAGTTAATTACTTGAATTAAAATAGTTACTAAATTGGGAACTATTTTTAGCCAGTAAGACTGCAAATACTTTAATTTTAGGGTATCCCTTCTGTAGTATGGAACGAAAATTAAAGATATCTGACAATGAGTACAAACTTCTGTTTAGCAACTTAAGTTGTCTTCTGCTACCTTCATTATCTGCAGAAGGGATCAAGTCTGGTGTTCTGGTGATATGATTCAAGTAAACATTCAGGTAAAACACAGATTATGACCATGGGATCGAGCGCCTGCTCTCGGCCCACTGTGTCCGGCGATGCTTGCCTCCTTTGAGCGGCTTTGCAGCCCGGCGGAGGCCCACCCAGGCCCGTGGCCGAGGGCACGTGGGGGGGGGCGGGGGGCTTGCATGCCAGACACAGCTGCTGCCTGGTCACGGATGGCCCAGCACCTCGTTGCCAGAGGAGCTAAACAAACGCCCGCCAACTGCAAGCTCTCGCAGACCAAAAAACCGCACACATGGACGCGAATAGGAAATGTTAGATAAGTCGTCTTGTCAGTGGGTTTGCAGAGAATCTGGTTGCTATAAACATTTAGTCATCCAAGCAAAAAACATCCCGTTATGCTGGGTGTGGGCAGCAACGGAAAGATAACAAATGAGAAGAGACAGGAAGCCTGCAGCCTTTGCAACTGAAGCAGGAAAAATGCAACTAAGAAGCTAAACCAAGAAAGATTGCCCTATTTCATCTGATTTTCTGCAGGTCCCGCATACTAACAGTCCTCCAAAGAAGAGGCTCGCTCTCCCCTACCCCCCCACCACACACTCAAACCTTAATCCTTCAAGGCGCAGCCATCACTCATTCAGAGAGCAGCCTAAACACAGGTCCCAACCTTGTCTGCTAGCCCAAGTCTGAGTCCTGTGTCAGGCATCGTCTTCCGAGCTTGCTTGGTCTGCTGGAGACGGTTCTGGGGGTTGCAGCCTTCCGGGCTCAGAGGGGGAAACCGCTTGGGGAAACCACACAGGGAGACTGAAATTCCCCGGCAGAGATCAGCAACTCGTCCAGCCACTTCGAGGAATTCTGCTTTGCGTTGTGCTTCATGCGCAGCATGCCCCTCTCTCCCTCGCCCTCCCTCTCCACCCCCACAATCACACCATGGGGGGATCCGAGTAGGACTGCAGGGCAGAGCGAGGGCTCTTGCTTTCCTCCACACCTGCAGCTCTCTTGAAAGATGCTGCTCTTGCACAGCTGGGAAGCCCTGCCCTGCCCTGCCCTGCCCTGCCCTGCCCTGCCCAAGGAAAGCTGGTGAGCTTTCAGGTGTTGCACTGACCGACTCCACGCAAGACTGCAAGCGGCAGTGCCTCCTCACCACGGCCTGCTCCGGGGGCCTCGTCCTACAGGCTGGAGGCAGTGCACAAAAGCCACCTGGAGAGCCCCCAGTTTCGGGGTGGGTTCTCCAGGGTAGACTATCTTGGCACCTGAACTGGGAAGTGTGGCTTGTTGTTGCCTTGTCAGACTGGGCAGCAGAGCTGCTGGGCAGGCCATGCTGTTGATCAGAGATCAGCCGGTCCGGGAGGACGGGGTGATACTGACGTGCTTAACTTCCCTGCTCATGCACAGAGGGAGGCGACAGCTGGCGGGGGAGGGAAGGGGCTTCTGGCACTTGATCCCATTAATAGTCCTTTCCTGGCCAATGGGCTGGGCCTTGCAAGAGCCACCAGAGAATGAACAGGCGCTTCCTTCCTGTCTTCCTTCATAGATTAGAGGAGTAGAGTGCCCGCCCGCCTTCCTTCCTTCCTTCCTTCCTTCCTTCCAAGATTTACAAAGTAGGCTGGACGGGACCCTACCAGGGCCGGCGTGTGCTGCTCTGTTACATGGCAGGACAAGCAAGCCCCTTCACATTTCAAGGCTCCACCTTTAGAAAGCCTTGGTGGATTTCTCTTGCTTTTTGGTGCTGATAAATATCATCAGCAGGCTGCCTTCTCTGCATTTATCCAGGTGGATAAAGAATAAACTAAGTGTGACTATCTAACACGCACAGTCAGTCAGAGGCTGGCTATTCCAAGGACTCCTTCCAAGAAAGGCACATTCCATTAATGTAATTAAATGGATTTCCCCTTTGCCTTGGATTTTTAGCTTGGATAAAAATTTCTCAGATATTTTTGTACTGACACTGAGGACCTGGAAAATGCAAAACATCATTGTAAACATGTCACAGAGCTGGGAAAGCAGCTCTGAGAGCTGATGGGAAAAGTCAGAAGTCCTCAAAAATAGCCCAGATTGGCAGTGGCTCTTTCCCCACAGACTGCGCTCTTTCTACTTGATAACTTAGCAAAATAAATGCCCAGAGGACCAGGAAACAAAAGACGCCGAAGAGTGGCCCCCTGCCCACGTCCCACTGAGCCGGCCACTCAGCCGATGCCCCGAGGGGATGTCGCACCCGAGCACGTGCTGACCGGAGATGCCGGCCAGCTGCGTGGATGTTGGCCCTCCGTGACAAGATCCCGGCCACGGGCGTCCCAGGCGTGCGTCACAGACTGCCGGGTGGGGGCCCAGGTGCTGCAGGCTTGGCCCAGGGCTGCCCACCGCGCTCCTCAGGGCAGCCCCAGCTCAGGCCAGAGGGCCAGGCCGGGGCGCGCGGGGGTCCGGGAAAGCAGTCCTGCCCCGGGCCAGGCTCCGAGGGTCTGTCCCTTGCATGGCTGCCCATCCTGCTACCAGTGGATTCCCTGGCTGAACCAGTCCTGAACCCTGGGACTCCGGTCTGGGAACCCTCGACACCCCTGCTGCAGCCGCTTGCCGGACCAGCTCAGGGCCTGGTGGCCACTAAAATGTTCGCCAGTCCAGCTCATACGGCACGGCCTCCATGCGCTCTTTTCCATGGAGGCTCGCTTGCCCCGTGCAGACAGCAGCAGGCATCTTGGCGCACTGGATTGCTGGGACCCTGTCCTAGAATTAACTGTATGCAGGCTCAGCGGAAGCGAGCGCTGAAGAGCCGGCCTGGTCTGGAGGCTGCCGCTCGTCCCGGGATCTGGCGCATCCGCACGGAGAGGCTTACAGCTAAAGGCAAAAGGGCTTATCACTTGCGGGAGGGGGATGCAGGCGAGCCCAGGCGGGGCATGCTGGCTCAAGGGGGGGTTTGTTGTTAGCGGGGGGGCGGGGGGGGGGGAGGAAGGTGCCTCTTTCCAAGGGGGGCCCGTGGCCCTTCTGCCTTTCCAGGGGAGGAGGGAGGAGAAAAGAGACACACTCTGGTGAGATCCATGCAGCATTACTGCAGGCAGTGCGGCATGTACCTTACATCTCTCTCAACCTTCTGTGCATTGACTCCTTCAAGCCTCGGTCTGTTCCACAGACTAACCGAACAATCGCTGGCCAGTGTTTTGCCACAGCCTGCCCCACACGTTTGCTGGAGGCCTTTTGCAACTAGTCTCGCCTTGCAGCGGTCTGTGCTGCTGGCCGAATTTTGTTCTGCCTTGAGGAGCCACTTACAACCGATTGTCTCCTGCCAGCCTCTGTTTTTCTCTAGAGCGTCTGTCTCTTGTGGTGCCGCTGGTCTGCACCGGACGCACTCGGCCTTGCCCCAACGTGCTTCCAGGCTACGAGCCTGCTGGCAGGCAGGACGAGCGCGGCCTGGCTCCTTTGCTGGCTCCTGTACAGCGCCCGAGACTTGGTTCTAGCCCCTTGGCCGCCTCTGCCACGTCCGCCTCAGCATCGCCCATGGCCCCTTCTCTTTCTGGAACGTGCGCAGCCTCTGGCACATCTGGCACATCACTTGGATCTGGTTGGATCTGTGGAAATTCTGCAAACAGCAAGAGTTGTCCTGGATCACCCGGCTCCTCATTCCAGCACTGGGTGCTCGTCAGAAGCTGAGCAGCGCCTCGTGCAGAGATCGCCAGTCTCTGGAGGGATTTGCCTCTGGGAGAACAGCTGGCAAACATTTAGTCCTTTCTCTTTGGGGGGGTCTGACTTCCAGTGCTTTTTCCCTTGCCAGGCATCTAAACCCTCTTAAGGCCCTGGGTTTGGTTTTCCATCGTGCCATGCCTGGTATAGGGCGACACCTGGTGGGCAGTCCGCTGCGGAGCTTCCTGCCAGGATGGCTTCTCCGGCTCGCTCCATTTATTACCGAGCTCTGCATCCACGAGAAGGCATCCTACTGCTTTCACTGGGGCAGCTGTTGTGTTTTTCACCCGTTTTGTTCAGGGGTGTAAAAAATGGAACTTCTGTGTCTTGCCCCCGTCTCAGTCGGGAAGGCCGGGGGCCAGTGAGACATTTGCTCACTCCCTTGTCCCTCTGCATCGCCCTGGGTGCCCTTCCAAAGTTGCCACACCATCGCCGGACAGTCTCCCAGCACCGCCGGGACGCCACGCATGTGCGCGAGCAGGCGGGCCTCTGCACACCCGCGGCGGGCTCCTGGCAGCGCGACTGCCACCAGCAGGGGGCGCTTGCACCAGCCCCACGAGGTCACCGCGGACCACGTGACGAGGGTCCCGGCCGTGCTGCTCTACCGCAGCAGGCGCCGCTTCGCTCGCTTGCCTGAGCAGTTCCTGTTCAGCCCAGAGGATGGCGCTCTCCGGAGCGTTACAACACGTAACAACGCAATAAAAGATGCACTCAGCATTTAAAACATTGCTGCCTTAAGGTTCTCATACACAATTTAAAACCAAATTAAAACGCATACTAAAAATATAATCGCCTACATGAGTTAACCGAATAACCTGTAGGAGCAGCTAACAAAGACAACAAACAACTAAATAGACGCCCTGCAAGAGAGGACAGTCTTACCTGGAGTTGAAAGGCTGCGCCCAGGAGAGCCTCAGGGGAGAAGCCATTCCATACCTGGGCAGCCACCGCTGCAAAGCCCCTCTCCTGCTTGCCGCCAGCTGAGCCCACCTCGAGGGCGGCGGGCAGAGGCGGGCAGAGGCTGGCCCCAGAACCGCTTTGTGGTGCCAGCACAGGGGAGGCCCTGCGCAACCCAGAGCTCCGCCGGGCGGCGGGCGGCAGGAGGCAGCCGGGCAGTGCTTCCTTGCCGCTCGCGCTGCCTCCCGACGCGCAGCAGGCCTTGCCGGCCCCCCTAGGAGCCTCCCGCCGTGCGCCGCCAGCGCTCTCCTGCCTGTTCCGTCGCTCCCGGCTCCAAGGGAGGCCAGAGGGCCGCGCGGTGTCGGCCGCCTGCGTCCCTCTGTGCTGCACGGAGCGGCAGGGGCTTCGACAGCGGCACCAGCCACATCGGCCGGGGCGGGCCGTCTGTCTTCGCGGGTCCTCTGCCCGCCGTCAGGCTGAATCTCAGCACCTTGCGAAGTGGCCTGCTGAGCTGGGTGCTCTTATTCTGTAAATGTGGCGTGTTTTATGCCCATTTTTAATCTATTCATTGTTTTTAACTGTGTCGTTTAAAATGTTCTTAAGCTTACTAGTGCCTTGAGCACTGTTTGCTTGCTGGGCAGCAGGGCAGAAGTCAAGCAATCTGCACCTGCACCTCCCTCCCTTCCTGCTACGCCAATGGTGGAATCAGGCATCGCCTGCCATCGCCTCCGCCTCCGGCGCCATGGCGACCCTGTGAATACACACTGTCCAGCACGTCCCCTCCGGGGCAGCCCCGCTCAGCTCTCCCAAATCCATGGCTGCGGAGCCAGCCCATCTCCCCGCTGGCCGTCTTCTGCCTCCGGCTCTCCTCCGCCCGACTGCCTTCTCCTCTGAGTCCGTCCTTCTTTTGATGTGCCTGAACTCATCTCCCCGATTCCCTCAAGACTCAAGGCGGCACCAAGTGTCCTTCATATTTAGGGTTGGGAAGGAGAAAAAATGATGAACTTTTGGCATTCGGATGTTACAAGGCAAAACTAGCAGGCTGGCAATGTTTCTTAAACCGCGGTGAAGCACACACAGTACTTACACCAAAGGCATTTGATTCTAAAGCGCCAAATAAGATGCAACATACAACAGAAATCCCACGTGTGCCTGGACAGCATGAGGCCCCACAGCTCCCAGCATGCTGCCACCTCGTTGGCTCGGGGTGCCGGGGCCTGTAGGGCCTTTTCCCTCTCCAAAGACACATGACCGCACCTTCGGTCTGTAATATATAGTTTCAATGGTGGAAGAAAATGGCTCTGTAGGGTTTACTCTAGACAGAAGCAGAATTTAACAGTTTCTCTGAATGTGACTGTAGGGTTAGTCCCAAAGAACTGTTTGGCATCCTGTCTCCCTGGTTCAAGTGAAAATGAAATGCAGATTAGCTAGTCTGGATGGCTGGGTTTGCAAGTGGATTATGCTGGCTTTCTGTGTATCTCGTGCTCTTGTAAAGAAATTCAGCCCATTTGGAGTTGAGTGGGAAAACTGATACAAGCAGCAGTGGGCATTTGTGATTTGAATGAGCTTACACCTTCAGGGCCTCGTGAGCTTCATCCTAGAGCAATAAAGGGAATCATGACCATCTCTGAGAAATCACGGAGGACGGGGGAAGTGCCAGATGACTGGAAGGTGGCTAAGGTTGCCTCTAACTTCAGAAAGGACAAAATAAGAAGATCCAGGGAACTACAGGCAAGTCCTAAGTCTCCGGGAAAATTCTGGAGCAGTCAGACTGTACCTTGAAGGCAATGGAGCGATCACTAGAAGCCAGCAAGGACTTTTCAAGAATGAGTCTTGCCAGACTGATTTCAGTTTTTGATCAGGCAACCTCCCTTGTGGACTGTGGGAATGCGGTGGGCATCGTATCTCTTGGTCTCAGCAAAGCTTCCGACAAAGAGCCGCATGATGTCTGTTCAGCAAAGTGGCTGAAAGTGGGCCTGATCCTGGTTATGGATCCCAACCGCTGCCCCTGGCCACGCTCGCGCCACAGGGGCTGCGAGGGCAGCCCCACGGAACCCTCCTCTCCACCACACGAGGCTTTATACAATCGGCACTCCTTTATTTGCTCAGAAAACAAGGTACAGAAGTGGGAAAGGCAGCAGAGATACCGTTAGCACGGCGTGTCCAGTCATGAACCCCTCCAGCCAATGAGCTGTGCTGGTCTTTCGAGAGAAGAAAGGGGGAGGCCGGGGGAATTCAAGCAGAGAAAGGCAACATGGGCATGCCGAGCGGGCGCTTCCACGCGGCTTCCGGGGAGCCACGAGGGCTCTCAGAACACCGACTCCACATCGCCCATCTCCACAATGACAGCCTTCAGCTGGGAGTAATACTCGATGGCGGCTTCGCCATTCTCTCGACCAAAGCCTGCAAGAGAGAGATCCCCGTCAGGCAGGCAGGCAGGCTTGGGAAAGCCGCATGGCAGCGATCGACTCTGACTCTGATCCTAGCATCATATTCCCGCTCTGAAAATCTGTGCTCACTTTTCAAGGTTCCCACACTTCTACTTGCAAAGGATACTTGCCAGCAACTTAGCCAGGGGAACATGAAAATTAAGGAGTTTTCAGTGGTGGAGGGACGGATGTCTTCCCTTAAGTGCAAAACAGAGATGAACCCCTAAGCTACTCAGTGCAGATTTTCCCTCTTGCAAGCGGAACAGTGCAAAAGGTTTGCCTTCAGGTCAAAGTTCTATTTGTCTGATGTCCAGTTTTATGGTCTTTTCTTCCTTTTTTGGAAATGTTCCTGTAATGCTTATCCACTGAAAACTCCCTTCACAGCACAATGCCATACAGGCAAATTCAAAGGGACTAACAGGGAGAGCTGAGCAGGCCTGGTGTCTTATTTTAAATAAAACTGATGGAATTTTTAAAATAGAAAAAAATGTCTGGAAAAGGGAGGTAGGCAGAGAGGGCCCTGGGAGACTGGCACCCAGCTGACCCTTACTAGCTGAGTTAGTTCTTCCCCTTCATGGATCACTGCCTTGTTGTGGCAAAGGGGCTTGCGTAGCTCAATGAAGCTCTGAGCTATGCCGTGCGGGGCCCCTCAAGACGGACAGGTCATAACAAAGAGCTCTGGCAAGACGTGATCCACTGGAGAAGGAAATGGCAACCCACACCAGTACCCTTGCCATGAAAACCCCACGGACAGTACCAAAAGGCAGAAAGATATGACGCCGGAAGATGAGCCCCGCAGGTCGGAGGGTGTCCAATGCGCTACTGGGGAAGAGCGGAGGGCTAGTACTAGTAGCGCCAGGAAGAATGAAGTGACTTGGTCAAACCCGAAAGGACACTCAGCTGCAGATGTATCAGGTGGTGAAAGGAAAGTCCGATGCTGCAAAGATCAATACTCCATAGGAAGCTGGAATGTAAGATCCATCAATCAAGACAAGCTGGACGTGGTCAAAGAAGAGATGACAAGACTGAACTTCGACATCTTAGGAAACAGTGAACTAAAATGGACAGGAATGGGTGCATTTAATTCAGATGACCATCAGGTATACAACTGCAGGCAAGAATCCCTCAGAAGAAATGGAGCAGTAAAAGAGTAGGAAAAGCAGTACTAGGATACAGTCTCCAAAATGACAGAATGATCTCAGTTCGAATCCAAGGCGAACCATTCAGCATCACAGTAGTCCAAGTCTATGCCCCAACCACTGGTGCTGAAGAGGCTGAAGTTGACCGGTTCTGTGAAGGCCTACAACAACTTCTAGAATTAACCCCAAAAAATGATGTCCATATCATCATGGGGGATTGGCATGCTAAAGTAGGAAGCCAAAAGATAACTGGAATAACAGGCAAGTTTGGCCTTGGAGTACAAAATGAAGCAGGACACAGGCTGGTAGAATTTTGTCAAGAGAATACGATGGTCATAGCAAACACTCTTTTCCAACAACCCAAGAGACGACTCTACACATGGACATCACCAGACGGTCAACACAGGAATCAGACTGACTATGTGCTCTGCAGCCAAAGATGGAGAAGCTCTACACAATCAGTAAAAACTAGACCAGGAGCTGACTGTGGCTCAGGTCAAGAGCTTCTTGTTGCAAAATTTAGGCTTAAATTGAAGGAAGTAGGGAAAAGCACTAGGTATGACCTAAATCATATCCCTGATGAATATACAGTAGAGGTGACAAATAGATTTAAGATCTGATAGACAGAGTGCCTGAAGAACTATGGACGGAGGTTTGCAACACTGTACAAGAGGTAGCAACTAAAACCATCCCAAAGAAAAAGAAATGCAAGAAAGCAAAATGGCTGTCTGAGGAAGCTTTACAAATAGCTGAGGAAAGAAGGGAAGCGAAAGGCAAGGGAGAAAGAGAAAGATACACCCAACTGAATGCAGAATTCCAGAGAATAGCTAGAAGAGATTAGAATGCCTTCTTAAATGAACAATGCAAAGAAATAGAAGAAAACAATAGAATAGGGAGGACCAGAGATCTCTTCAAGAAAATTGGAGATATGAAGGGAACGTTTCATGCAAAGATGGGCATGATAAAGGACCAAAATGGCAGGGACCTAACAGAGGCAGAAGAGATTAACTACCAGAAGTACAGGCAGGATTTTGAAGAGTCAAAGAAACTAGAGATCAAATTGCCAACATAGGCTGGATCATGGAGAAAGCTAGGGAGTTCCAGAAAAACATCTACTTCTGCTTCATTGACTATGCTAAAGCCTTTGACTGTGTGGATCACAACAAATTGTGGCAAGTCCTTAAAGAGATGGGAATACCAGACCATCTTATTTGTCTCTTGAGAAACCTGTATGTGGGTCAAGAATCAACAGTGAGAACTAGACATGGAACAACTGATTGGTTCAAAAAAGGAGTTCGGCAAGGCTGTATACTGTTCCCCTGCTTATTTAACTTATATGCAGAGCACATCATGAGAAAGGCGGTGCTAGATGAATCACCAGCTGGAATTAAGATTGCCCGGAGAAAGAGAAATATCAACAACCTCAGATATGTAGATGATACCACTCTAATGGCAGAAAGTGAAGAGGAACTAAAGAGTCTCTTGATGCGAGTGAAGGAGGAGAGTGCAAAAGTTGGCTTGAAACTCAACATCAAGAAAACTAAGATCATGGCACTATCACTATCACTTCCTGGCAAATAGATGGGGAAGAAATGGAGGTAGTGACAGATTTTATTTTCCTGGACTCCAAGATCACCACAGATGGGGACTGCAGCCAAGAAATTAAAAGACACTTGCTCCTTGGGAGGAAAGCTATGGCAAATCTAGACAGCATACTAAAAAGCAGAGACATCACCCTGCCAACAAAAGTGCATATAGTCAAGGCTATGGTTTTCCCAGTTGCAATGTACAGCTGTAAAAGTTGGACCATAAGGAAGGCTGAGCGCTGAAAAATTGAGGCCTTTGAATTGTGGTGCTGGAGGAGACTCCTGCGAGTCCCTTGGACTGCAAGGTGATCAAACCGGCCAGTCCTAGAGATCAACCCTGACTGCTCTTTAGAAGGCCAGATACTGAAGATGAAACGCAAATACTATGGCCACCTAATGAGAAGGAAGGACTCCCTGGAGAAGAGCCTAATGCTGGGAACAACAGATGGCAAGAGAAGAAGGGGACGGCAGAGGATGAGGTGGCTGAATGGAGTCACGGAAGCAGTTGGTGTGAGCTTAGGTGGACTCCGGGGGATGGCGGAGGACAGGAAGGCCTGGAGGAATGTTGTCCATGGGGTCGCGATGGGTCAGACATGACTTCGCGACTAGCAGCAAAAGTCCTAGAACTGAAAGTGCCCTTTCACAGCAACTGTGCTGCCCAGGCCCACTGAGACCCAAGCGACCTGTGGGTCACAACCCGGCCAAAAGACACAAGCTGCCTTCATGGCTTGTCTGGCGCTCCCAAACCGCAATTGCCGCTGGGTGCAGATGCCATGGCAGCTCCCGCTTCAACAGCCTCCCACAGGCCGGCACCTCGCATGCAACTTGGCGTCAATGCGCACATTTCTGTGCACCCTCAAACAACTTCTGGGTCTCATCCCATCTCTCCTGTCCCACAAGGGGAGAGGAGGAGGGCACACGATCCCTCTGTGCCGTGCCAGAGCGACCCGGGCAGGTCAAGCTTGCGGCAAGAAGCCCGCTGGGCAGCCCCTTCCCGACCCACCTGCACCTCTGGGGCACGCAAGGGGCCTCTGCCCACTGCCGGTGCCCCAAGGGCAGGCGCTCAGCGGCTGCTCCCAGGGTGCCCTGGCACTCGCCGCTTCCACGGGCCAAGAGCCAGCCAGCCAGCCCGCGGCCCCAGGCCCCTCGCCAGTCCCCCTGCAGGCCCCTCCGGGCCCCCAGCGAGGCGCTGGGGGGCTCACCTGACATCTTGTATCCCCCAAAGGGCAGCTCCACGGGGCTGATGTTGTAGTTGTTGATGAAACACATGCCGACCTGCAGACCTGCCGCTATTCGGTGGGCGCGCTGGATGTCCCTGGGGAGCAGAGGGGGGGGGTGAGGCGCCTGCTCTCCCGGTCGCAGCCCAGGGGGCGTCAAGCTCCCACTCCGCCGGGCCGGGCCACACAGGGCCGCCTCGCGGAGATGTCGGCCGGCGGGGGCCGCCAAAGCCCCGCCGAGCAGTGCGTGGCTCCCCGCTGGCCCTGGGGGGCACAGCTGCCCCTGCCCAGCCAGGCCCCCCCGCCCCCCCCGCTTTCCGCACTTCCGCAGCACCTGGTGAAGACCCCTCCCGCCAGGCCGAAGCGTGTCTGGTTGGCTCTCTGCAGGACCTCCTCTTCCGTGTCAAAGGGCAGAATGGACATGACTGGCCCGAAAATCTCCTCTTTCACACATGTCATGCTGTCCTTGCAGTTTCCTGGGAGCAACACAAAGTGCCTTTCTGTCCAGGCGCACCAAAAGCGAAGGTGACGCAGGGCCTCTCGAGCTGCTGGGATCCTGCAGTCCAGCAGCTGGCGGATTTCATACTACCTGCTTGAAGATCCCGCTTGATGGATCCTCTGACGCAGGGATCAGCCACTCGGTCCCGCCTGTTTTCCCATGCAGGGGGGCCGCCCAGCTGCAGGGCTCCTCGTGTCCTGCGCAACGACTCAGAGGAGTGGCTGGCGCATGTGAGGGAGGGGGGCTCCCTGTGAGAGTCAAGCCCCAGAGCAGGCAGATTTTGGCCTGCTGCCCATTGTACAACCCCCCCCCACTGCCCCGCTCTCTGACTCTGCCGAAAAGGCCGAGGAGACAGGCAGCTCTTCAGCAGAAGCCGATAACGGAATGAGAGGGAGGTGAGCCGGTTCCTGTGGAAACGCGGCAGGACGAGACAAAGACCCTGGGAAACATGTACTTCTGCTCGAGGTAGGAGAGCCCCCCCCCCGCCCCCGTTTGGGGCAACTGGGTCCAGGGAAATGGAAAGGAGGAGGGAGAGAAGCTTGTCCGACCCGCCCAGGGTCAGGAGTGCTTTCTAATCTGATCCCCCTCAGAAAGAGGGGACAAGGTCACCATTAACATCATCATTACAAGTTCCTTTGTTGTTTGTTGTCTGCGTAGCTTTGAAGTTTCTTAGAACAAAAGGTTCAAAGCTCTGACTGCCAGTGTGGGGGAAGAGTGCCCCAGCCACAAGACACCTCACAACCACAACCCCCTGAGGTAGGCTGGGCTGAGCGCAGCATCTGTGGCGGGCCCACCATCACCCAGGAGGCCTCGTGGCTGAGGGGGGACTCGGACCCGTCTCTCCCGGGTCCCCGGTCCCACGTGCTCACCACCTGCCGCTCTGGCTCTCCAGGGCCCAACTCCCAAACGAGGACTGCTTCCAATTCCAGTCCTGGACGGACGAGGGGACTTCTCAAGCTACATAATCAGGAGCAGTCTTGCTCTGACGGTAAGCCTTCCAACACATATCCTTTCCCCTAAAGGGGAAGTGCTTCCAAGAGGCAGGATCTGGCCCCGATCCATTATGCAAGACCTCCTTTGCATGAGGAAGCCCCCCAACATGCCACAGGGGGCCCTCTGCTCGTGCAGACCTGGCTCCCCACAGTGGAAGGACCACCGCCCTGCTCGACCCCGTGCAGAGGACAGTGCCGAGCTCTCCGGCGGAGTCACTCGCCTCCCTAGTGGCACCCATGGCCAGGAGCATCATGTGCTCGCCGGTCTGTGCCCTCCACACTGCCTGGCAAGCCACCCCTGGGCAGACTCGGAAGAAGGCGGAGCAAGCCATCCTTACCCAGCACGCAGGGCGACATATAGAAGCCTTTGCTCAGCTTCGGATCGTCGGGCACATGTGCCTCCCCGCCGCAGAGCACCTCAGCGCCCTGAAATGCAACACAGGAGAGGGTAGCGGTGGCTCTCGCCTGCCTGAGACTCCCACAGCTGCGCCGGCGGGACAAGCCACAGCCAGGCCCCAAGCCGGCTCCGCGTGGGCATCCCCAGGACGCCTCTCAGCAGACCGGAGCGCGGCAGCCGACCGGACAGGACACGGTCTCCGCTGGCCGGCTCTCCTCCGCTTTTGAGTCATCACCCCCTTAACAGAAACAAGTTTGCACGGATTTGTAGTCTGCTCGTTTGCAGAGTTATTCTCGGAATGGAACGGGGCTAGAAATGTGGCCAGAGGGAGGAAGCGAAGGGGGCTCTTTTTCCGCTGAGGAGCAGAGCATTCGCGCACGAGCCCCCGGCACAGAAATGTCGATCCAGGGAGAGCCCGAGCCCTTGCCCCGAGCAGCTCCGCAGCTGCCACGGCGGAAGTGTGCCTGAACGACAGCGACCAAGAGTGACATTCCAGCATAGTGCGGAAGCGCCTGGGCAGGGAGCTAAACGGGAGCTCTCCCGCTGGCCTCCTCCCCCGCCCGCCCACCCGCCCGCCCAGCCTCTTTTGCAATCCGCAGGGCTGCTGACGCCCGGGGAGCAAAGGGCAGAGCGAGCCCACTCCGCTGGCAGGGTGCCTGCGTCTGGCGCGAGAGGCCATGGCAGGGGCAGCCCAGCGCCGGAGTCCCTCAGCACAGGCAGAGGAGCGCCTGGTCTCTGGTCACGGAATGGCAGAGTTGGGAGGGCCATCAGGCCAATGTGCTGCTCAGTGCAGGGCTCCAGGGTGAACCGTCCCTCCCAGCTGGCTGCCCAGCTGCATCTCGAGCGCCTGCAGGTGGGAGCCCCCAGCCCCCCCACACCGCCCCCCAGGTCATGGGTCCCCTCCCCACACTGCTCTGCCAGGAGGCTCCCCGTTCTCGCCAGAATCTAGCCTCCCGCCTGTTGTTCTGTGTCCGGCGCTCTGGGATGACCAAAATGAGATGCTGGCCCCCTCCTTCAAGTACTCGGCGACTGCCCTCCCCTCTCCTCGGTCTTCGCTTCTCCAGGCTCAACATGCCCAGTTCTTTCATGCTCTCCCCAGGGGGTTTGGTGTCCAGTTCCCAGCCTTCCTCTGAACCCTTCCCAGCTTGCCCGCATCTTTCCTAAACTGGTGCCCAGAACTGGCATTTCACAGGATACGGAAGCAATTTTCAATTCTTTACAGGCTGCCTCAGTTTCCTTCTGCACGACAAGGTTTGCACTGAAGCTGAGAGGGATGTGGATTAAAAAGGGCTGCTTTCAGGCACCTCCTCCTCCGCCGCCCTTAGCATCCCTGCCAGGAGATGGTCTGCCTGCCCCAGTTTGCCTCTGTGTGGAACCGTCGTGCTGAGCCATGCGGCTCGGAGATGTGGCCTCAGGCGGCATGCCAGGCCTCCGCCACCCTCTGCCCTGCCCTGCCCTGCCCTGCCGCACCTGGGCTGCTGCCACGGCCCGCCTGTCTCTCCCCTCTGCACCTCCGCCCAAGGCCAGACTTGCCACAAGACACTGGAGATCCTGGCATGCTTCTCAGCACTGACTCACCCCGTGCCAAGGTGCGTGTGCTCCGGATTTCAGGAGCCAAAGTCCACACTGAGAGGACAACCCCAATCCCGCAAGTGGCGCACCCCAGGCTGGCTGCACAAACCCACAGACTTTGGCCCAGCAGGAGAGATTTAACCTGCTCCCGTGAGTCCCGGGGAGCCGCGGCCCTGGCGCCACAGCGCAGCGCAGGGGAGCCCTCCGCTCCAGCCGCTGCACAGGCACGGTGCGCGCTCCGTGCTGGGGCCCCTGCGCCACGCTGCGAGGGGCCTGGGGCGTGCGCAGCATCCGTGCAGCGTTTCGGGGGGGACCCCACTCGCGGCCACCCGGCAGTCCCCACCCCACGAATACAGCCCCGCAGCTCACCTGCTCCTTGGCCTGTTTGACGAAGCTCAGCACCTTCTCCAGGTGGGGCCGGTTGATCAGCGCCCCCATCCTCGTGTCTTCCAGCAAGGGGTCCCCGATCCTGATCCGCTGGGTCTGCTTCACGACTTCCTTGGTGAAGCCTTGCAGGATCTCCCGCTGGACAAACACGCGGGTGCCGTTGCAGCAGACCTGGGACAGAAGCGCTCGCTGGACTCCGCCCTCTCCTGCGGGGGGCCTCGGCCAGCACGGGGGCAAGAGCGCCTGGCCCCCCACGCAGCGTGGCCACGCAGAGTGACCCCCAGCAGCGCGGGCGGGGCGGGGCGGGGCGGGGCGGGGGAGGCAGTGGCGCCCGCCCCTCCTGCGGCGCAACCCCACAATCCCCGGCCAGGTGCCCAGCGGCCGCTCCCGCCCAGGGGCACCTGAAGGCAGGCCTCCCCAACAGCTCGAGACTCCCATGCGCCCCACAAAGCCCGTGGTGCCCCCCGGTCCCGGTCCCGGAGCCCGCTCAGCGCCGCACACAACGCGCCCTTGGGCGAGCAGGCGCCAGCCCTCGGCACACACGGAGGGGCCTCCGAAAAGGCGCGCGGCAGCCCTCCGCTCCGCCGCTGGCCAGCTACCTCGCCTTGCGTGAGGAAGTTGGCCATGAGGGCGCCCTTCACGGCGTTCTCCAAGACGCAGTCGGAGAAGATGATGAGGGGGGACTTGCCGCCCAGCTCCAGGGTCACCGGCTTGATGCCGCTGGCCGCCGCCTCCATAATCTGGAGTGGGGAGAGATGGGATGCGCTGCGTGAGCAGAGCCGCCGGAGAGGAGCAGAGGGCCCTGCCGAAGGTGCATGTGCCCCCCTCCTGCGTTCAGGGAAGCGTGCCTGGCCCGTCAGGACCACGTGACACGCGGCGAGCCCTCCCGAGAGCGCTGGCACCCGCGGACATGCGGCTCCTCCGCCGTCCGTGCGGGGAGGCGCTGCGCCATGTGCCAGTCGCGCACACGGAGGCAGGCACTTCCTCCGGCCTTCCAGCAGCGCTGGCCAGGCAGTCTTGGCAGTGCGGAGGAGACATGCGGGACGACCAACCGTGGGCTTCCCTGCTGCAGGAGATGCCCGACTCCAGCACTGGCGGCAGGCACCGCGTGGCTGTGACGGACAAGCGTGCACAACGGCTCTCTCGTCCGAAACCCTTTCTAGGCTGCTCTGAAGTAGGGACCCTGCTCCGTGACACGCCAGCCCGGAGGGTTCAGGGGCCACTGAAGGCAGCGAGTGGCCCCGGAACCTCGCGAGGCGGCCGCTCCCTTTGGGGGCACCGTCGCTGCTGAACTGGACTGAGCACAGCACGGCCGAGCTACAAGCGGGGCAGGCAGAGGCAGGCAGGGTCCCGGCCACCTCTCCACTGGCCCTCGTACCTTGACGCCCGTGGGCACGCTCCCGGTGAAAGAGACCTTGGCCACATCGGGGTGCTGACACAGGAACTGGCCCGTGGCTGCTCCGCCCTGCACCACGTTGAAAAGCCCCCTGGGCACCCCGGCCTCGGTGTAGATCTCCGCCAGCATCAGAACAGAGAGCGGGGTGAAGGGAGAAGGCTTGTACACCATGGCATTACCTGGTGGCGCAAGTCGTGTGCGTCAGAGGCAGAGCAGGCGCTTGCCCTGCCTTGTTGTGGCCACATCCGCTCAGGGCGTGGGAGATGCCGGGAAAGAGCAGCTCCGAGGGCCACCGCGGCCCGGCCCGGCCCAGCCCAGCGAACGCTCTGCTTACGGAAGGGGCCGGGGTGAGCGCTGCAGCAGCGCCTGCCCAGCCGCAGGGAAGCCCTGCGGCCGCACCACCACTCGCCCCCACAGAGGTGCTCCGGTCGCTCCCCCTCAGCCTGGACCTTGGGGGGGGCTTGACTTGTGCCGCCCAAAGGAACAGCAGCCGCGCACGGCCGCTGTCTTCTCTGCCCGCCCGCAGCCGATGTAGCAAGAGCCCCGTGAAGGCTCTCCTGGCCGCCAGCCAGCTGTGGGAGGCGAGGTGCATTCCACCCTCGGGCTCACACGCATCTCCGTTTACCGCAAGCCAAGGCGGGGGCCGACTTCCAGCAGGCGATCTGGAAAGGGTAGTTCCAAGCGCCTATTCCAACGCAGACCCCGAGAGGCTCCCTCCTGGTGTAGCCAAAGGATCCCCCAGGAAGCTGGACGTGCTGGCCTGGAGTGGAAAGAACGCGTGAGCGACGTCAGTGCGGCACAGAGCCCCGCGAGCGCGGCCAGCCGAGCCTGAGAAGCGAGTGCCAAGAAAACGCGTCCCGGCGAGGACAGGAGGGCAGCACCTGCCTCCACCTGCCACAGGGCCCCACCTGCCTGCCTGCACGAGGCCCTAGTCGCCTGTGGCTTTCGCCCAAGCCTGGCGCAGGTCCAGCCAGCCGGAGCGCAAGGGGCCGCGTCCGGCAAATGGGACAATGGCAGCACGTGAAGGCCCCCGGCGGGGAAGAGAGACTGAAAGACGCCTCCCAGGCCGCGCGTTGGGGCAGTGAGCAGAGCTCTGCGGCCTGGGAGGCGTCTGCGAAAGCCCCGCATGCACGGTGCCAGCGGACGCCCAGCCCACTTTGCAGAAGCAGCACTGTGCTTCCTCGATAAGTTGTATAAACTTCAAAAATAAAACATGAACCAATTAAAATTTAATGTATATCAGTATCTAGCATTTTAAAACATGTTGGCAGCCCAGTGGGGGCGAAGGAGAGAGCCAGCAGAGCAGAGCTGAGACAAAGAACATGGATCTCACCTGACAGCGAGCCGGCCAAGCCCGCAAAGTACTGCAGAGTCTGCCAAGATATGTCGATGTCCACTAAGGCTTCGGAGATGGGCTTCCCGTTATTGATCGTCTCCAGGGTGGCGATCTCTCTCCTCCGCTCCTGCAATGCCAACACACGGCCCTTGGCTTATGAGGCTGCGGGCTCCCCCACCCAGAGGCACGCCAGGAGTCCCGGAGGGCCATTTGAGGCCGGCAGCTCTGCTCTGGGCAGGGGCTGCACCTGGCGGCCCCCTCTGGCTCTGCTGTTCTGCCGTTGCACTGCCTCCAGGTGCAACGCTCCCCTTGTGAGGAACCCCAGGCAGCCCACACAGCTCCACCCTCTCCTCAGGGCAGCCACCTGTGAGCGAGAATGGCTGGCCCAGGTCCAGGTCAGCCACTGGGCTTCATGGCCAAGCGGGGAGGAGACGCAGGGTCGCCAAGCCCCCGGTTTGACCGCCAGGCTGGTCAGAACCTCATCAGGCGGCCGCGGCCCGCACTGCCTGACCGGCTCCAAGGTCCGGGCTGCGCCAGCTCCGCAGGCCAGGCCCCGGCTTCCTGCACAGTGCTCACGGCAGTCGCGCGTCTGCAGGCAGCCGGGACGAGGGCTGCCGTCAGAGCCTGGCTGCCCCGTTTCATGCGACCTGGACATTCTTTGGGGCCGAAACTGTGAGGATGGGTAATACAGGGGAGGGGGCAGGCTCAGAAGTCATTTTTCATCTCCCGTCCTGCAAAAACAGAAACTATGCAAAGGAACTAAAACACTGGAATCAAATCAAATACTAATGGCACCTACATCTTCCTTTGCTGAAGAAAGGCGTGTAAGTAGAAATTAGCCCAGCTGCTGCATAGCTGAGCAAACATACAGTGACTGCTTATCTGCATGGAAATGAGAAATGGGGCTGCATGCAGTGCCAGAATGATGGAACACTTGGAGTTGAGAAAGAAAGTTTTTGAAAGAGTCAGCAAATTATGAAATCTCTGCCTTGGCAAAGCATGAAAGCAACACGCTCCCTTTCAGGGGAAAAATGCCTGGCTATCAAGGAGCAGCATGTCATGAAGTGGCTGATAAGGCAGCAGGAGCAGCTCAGGGGCAAACTGGAGAAGGCACGCACGAAAGCCTCCTCTTGTGAAAAGGGCACCATAGTCCAGACATTTCACGCAGCGTACGAAGTGGCCAAAAAGAATCTGACTTTTCGCAGTTTTGAAGGTGAAATTAACTTGCAGGAACTGAATGGCATCGGTATGGATCTTAAACTTCCTTCCACTGATACCTGCTGCAACACTCAGTTGCATTCCTAGTGAAATGAGAAACAATTTAATCAAAAGTATTGTGACATCTAATTGCAGGATCACCTTAATCAACTACTTTTAGTAAAAAGAATCTATGCTGATTTTGTAGAAACAGGTTTACATATAGATATGTATATGAGAGGCCACACATTGAATAAGTTATAGAAATTAATATTTATCTATGTAAAATGAAACTAAATGTGAAATTGATAGTGCCTGAACCTCAGTAGAAGACAGCTGAGTTGCCAGGACACCATGCAGAGTTTGGGGGTTACAAAAAATAAAATTAATCAGTGTGTCTTACGGCTTCTCCTTCACCTGCAACCTAACAGTGGGAATGCAGGTGGGGCTCCCCTCCAAAAGCTCAGGGGAGGGACAGGGCCACACCCTCAGCTAGTAAGACTGAAAGAGGGGAGGGTCTGCCGGGCGTTCAGGGGAGGCCAAGACGTCCCCAGATTCTGAGAGGCCAGCCTCTGGGTGCCTGCACAACAGGGCTGCTGATCACTGTCCCCACCCCGCCATTGCTTCGGGCTAGCTACTTGCAGCACATTGGAAGAAAAAAGCAACGAGGCTGTTCTGCTTGTTTGCTGCTTCTTAAGTAAAAAAAGCAAGTCAGACGAGAATTGCGAGAATTGCTCTCCGCTGTTAGTTCCACCGATGGAAGTTGCTCCACCAGCAGAACAACTCAGCTGGACTTTGCCTTTGGCTCCTGCGAGCAGAGAGGAGGGAAAGCCGGGCTGCCAGGCGCTCGGGGCTGCGACTGCCGCCAACACTAGTCAATGCACCTGACCGCACAGAGCGAGTGGTGCTGCGATTCAGCCGCTTCCAGAGGCCACAGGTGCCCCGTCCCGGCTGGAGGAAAAAGCTCCGGACCTCAAGAGACGCCCCACTCTGTCGCTACGCTCGTCCCGCAACTGCAAACAGAACTGACGTTATGGGACAGTAAAGGCAGTTGCCTTTGTGGGGATGTCAAATTATTCAGCCAGAACAGGTGCGAGACTTCTGTTTGCCTAGGATCTCGTCTAACTGGCAAATGCACGAATGCAAAGCGATTCACGTGGCTGCGAGTATCCTAGCTTTGCATTTATAATGCAAGACATAGTGCAGAGAAAGAGAGTTTTTTCCTTCATAGAGTGCCAATGCTCAAGAGCCCTCCGGTAAAATGCAACAGCAGAGGAGTCGGGCCTAGAGTGGAGGCAACCCACTTCTTTGAGATGGATTCATGGAGCTTCTGATGCAACGCTGGAGCTGGCCTGTGGCTGAGGCACCTCGAAAGCGGATCAGACCCACTCAGGATGTGCAACTGTGAATGGATGCTCACAAGTTCAGTGCCACTGAGTGCTGTGGGGCAACAATGGGAACGGACGATGCTGCTAAGCTCTGTGGAGCTCATGGACCGCCCACTCACAACAGACCGGGGCACGGATGCTCGCTCTCACCAAGGGGAACTCAGGGCCGCCTGAGTGGGGTGGCACAAAGCGGCATCCTGCAACAGCAGGGCTGCCCCCGTGGCCTCCGTGGCTCCTTCCGACTCTGCTGCTCTGGGACCTACGGCTCTCCACGCCTGTCCCAAGCAACGGTCCCTTTACTGATCTGGAGCTGCAAATTGCTTGGCGGCTGATCCTCTGCCACCAGCAGAGCCCACACACCTGGCTGCCAGCGGTGCCTGCATCTCCCCTCCCCTCCCCCCGAGAAACCACAACCTCCATCGTCCCCGCAACGGCTGTTACCTCCCCGGGAACACATGGGGCAGAGCCAGCTTCGTGGCCATCACAGTGACTATGAAGCCAACTCAGACTGTGAAGGTTCCCTGGCCAATGAAGCCACATACCTGAATAAGCCTTGCGGCCTGCAGCAAGACGGAGCTCCGCTCCATGCCCGATTTCTGGCTCCATATTTTGAAGGCAGCCTGCGCACTCTGCACAGCAAGGGCCACCTCCTTCTCCCCAGAAAAGGGGAACCTGGCAATGACCCGGCCTGAGGAAATAAAATCAGATTCCTATTTGAATGCGTAACACAAGATTTTGTTTGACTTCTTATAGGAGCTGAGCCATGTACATTGCACACAGTCTGGAGACAAGCAACCTGTCGCTCATATGCATTTATTTGCAATATTTCTCAACAGTTAGTTTTCAAACAAACAACACAGAAAGAGAATGGAGAAGAGACTCAAAATACCATAACTAAAGTTACTTAAAACAACCATCCAATTTACATACAATGACAGCTCAAATCCGGGAACAGGAGAAAGTTGCGTTCTGCAACAGGTGCAGATTATGCAAGTTTGTGTAATTTTTCTTTAATTTGTATCCTCCTAGTCACCAGATCTGTCCAGCCAGACTCTTCCTCACTTCAGCGTGGCACATGGGACCACATAAGTTGGAGGCAAGGGAAGCGAAGGAAACGCTTTTGTGGCTAGTTCTTGCTGTGCCAGTTCCATGGATCCAAAGGCTCCTGCAGCACTAACGGGCATACACAAAACTCGCAAGATCCTAATTTGGCAGGGCTTCCCCGCAGGCCCGGCTTGCACAGGGGTCCGCAGGTGCAGCCAGAAGCTGCGTGGCCCGCCCGGGCCGCCCTCGGCCGAGGCCCCGGGCGAGGGGAGGGGGAGCGGCCGCCCGGGCGCCGCCGGGGCCGCGGACACTCACCGGTGGCGGGCTCGAAGGCCTCCTCGGCGTGATCCCCGTCCACGGGCTGCACGCGGGCCCCCGCGCGGTAGTTGAGCGGCTCCTGCTGCTGGAACGTGCCGGTGGCGGAGCTCATGGCGGCGCGGCGCGGGCGGCGGGCGAGGCCTCGGGGCAGGAGGGCCGCGCGGGCTCCGAGCAGCATCGGCGGCCGCCTGGCGGGAG